GTAGATAGACTAGAGTAGAGTAGAGTAGAGTAGATAGAGTAGAGTAGAATAGAGTAGAGTAGAGTGGAGTAACAGAGTTGGAAGGGACCTTGGAGGTCTTCTAGTCCAACCCCCTGCTTAGGCAGGAAACCCTACACCACTTTTCATCGGTGTTATCCTCCATGGGGCAGTTAGATCTTCTTTTCAGGATACGGCTTGTCGGTCAAGTTGTTGTAAGGCCATGGGTTGATTCCCCCAGAAGATCCACCTGAGGTGGCTTCAGCCAAGTAGAGTCTCCATGAGTAAAAAAGGGACCTGAATTCCTGGTCTTGGTTGAGGAGGAGAAGCTGGCCATGTGTCCCCCCTTCCCCCCCAAAAATCCAGGGGTCAAGTGGGAACCTGCCCCGACCCTTGTCAAAACAGCCAACTCTTGTTGGACAGATTTTCCCACATGTTTTTTTTTTTTTTTGCTCAGGGCTCAAGGTCCTCTTATCTGCCCATCCTGTTTTTTATTTTTTTTTAATTTATTTATTTGTCAAACATGTATAAGATAACAGATATAAGTATAGACATGATTATGAATACAGGAAATGGATATGGAAAAATGGGGACAGTAGGACAGGGATGGTGGGCACGCTGGTGCGCTTATGCACACCCCCTTACAGACCTCTTAGGAATGGGGTGAGGTCAACAGTAGATAGTCCAAGGTTAAAGTTTTGGGGGTTTGGGGAAGAGACCACAGAGTCAGGTAGTGCATTCCAGGCATTGACCACTCTGTTGCTGAAGTCGTATTTTCTGCAATCGAGTTTGGAGCTGTTTACCTTGAATTTGTATCTCTTGTGTGCTCGTGTATTGTTGCGGTTGAAGCTGAAGTTGTCATTGACAGGTCTGTAGCAGATCATTTTGTGTACTACGCTTAGGTCAGACCGAAGGCGGCGTAGTTCTAAATTGTCTAATCCCAAAATTTCAAGCCTGGTGGCATAAGGGATTCTGTTGCGAGCGGAGGAGTGGAGGACTCTTCTCGTGAAATACCTCTGGACTCGCTGAATTGTATTAATGTCCGATAATACAATGCAGTGTGGGTTCCAGATAGATGAGCTGTATTCAAGAATTGGTCTAGCAAAGGCTTTGTATGCCCTAGTTTGCAGCACAATATTACCGGAGAAGAAGCTATGTAAGATTAGTGTCAGGTTTCGATGCTATCTCAAAATAAATGAATTTCCAAACTGCCGATCTTTGAGGAAATTTTCTCTTTATTGAGCATAGTGATCTGTCCCTGGCTCTTTCGTGGTCAGCACTGACCTTTGCCCCCCAAGCCCTCCCTTTCCGATCCCCAATTCTCTGTGTCTCATTGGCTATCTTCCAAGCCACTCTCCTCATCCCATCTCGGTCAGATCAGAGGAATGTCCCCCCTCCTCCCATCTGAGGAAACAGAATCTTCAAAGGAATTAAGTAGGCAAAAGTTCAAGCTTCTTCTCTCCTTTCATATGTCAGCGCTGGAACGCTGACAATTAGGTTTACAACGCTTAATGCCAGCAACAGAATCACCTTCCTCCTTCGCTACCTGATCCAAAACAGGTCCCTTGCTAACAAGAGATCTCTTGGTCTCCTTCCAGATCTCCAGAAGAAAGTCTTCGTTTTCCCGGCAGCTTCTCGCAAGGCCTTCGTGCGTCTGAACGTCCATCTTCCGCAGCCCCTGACCAGCCTCTCCGTCTGCCTGAAACACCACTGCCCGCTTTTGCGCCCTTATTCCCTCTTCTCTTACGCCACCCGGTCCAGCGACAACGATTTCCTGATTTTTAAGGAAGAGCCCAATGTCTATTCGATTAGCGTCGGCGGCTCAGACGTACGTTTCAAGATCCCTAGGCAAGATATTCCCCGTTGGGAGCACATCTGTGTCTCTTGGGACTCCAGAAATGGGTTGATTTATTTTTGGCTCGACGGAGTTCTCCTGCCCCGCTTGGGAACCAAAAGGGGTCACAAAATCAGCCACCAGGCATCCATCATCTTGGGGCAGGACCAGGATACCTTCGGAGGGGGCTTTGACATCTACCAATCCTTTATGGGGGACATGTCGGAGGTCAACATGTGGCCTCGAGTGTTGACCACCGATGACGTTCGGTTGCTTATGAAAGACGACACCGTACCAAATCCTCTGGCCAGCTGGAATGCTTTTAATTACACAATTCAAGATTATGTGGTCGTGACGGATGAAGTGCCTTAGCTGTCTCCAAAAGGAAGACCCGCGTTTGAAAGAAAGAAAAAAAGAAAGGAAAGGAAAGGGAAAAAAAAGAAATGCGTAGTTTTTAGTGTATTGCAAATTTGAAGTAGACAGCGATTGATCGGTAGATCCTCCGCGCGTGAAAAAAATCACTTGCGGGCATTCGAATCTCCTCGCAATAAAAATAAGCCGCTTGTTCACGATAATGCTGATTTTTTCCCCCTCTCTTCTGTTTATTTTAATTGCGTAATGCGGATCCAAAGTACAGGGTGGGAGGTGATTTCAACTTTTCTTCTTCGTTACATGGGGACGCATCATCATCTTGTAAACGACCCCATTATCCTTTGCAGGGCGAAGTCTGGGCAACTGAATGGAGCTAGCCAAGTGTTTGAATGGCCGGATGCTCTTCCTGTCGTCAGGGCGGAGTTTTGTTCAGCAGATATATATTCTCATTGTGCACAAGAGAGAGAAATATCTGCCTCTACCTAGGATCGAACTCACAAGCCTCCCAATTGTGAGTCCAGAGCTCCACTTCTAGGCCACCTTTGTTACATGGGGACTGACCGCAACAAATACACACAGTGCAAATTCAGCCAATAGACTACTGCAAAAGGTGCTTCCTGGTGCTGCCCTTGAAGACGGTTCTGTGTTCAGCCGCAGTGCATGAGTTGCAGCCCCACAAAATCCTAATCTTTTAACATTTCGTATACATACTTTCTCAATCACTTTTCCATTCCATTTTAGAAATAGAATATAGAATCACAGAGTTGGAAGGGACCTTGGAGGTCTTCTAGTCCAACCCCCTGCCTAGGCAGGAAAACCCTACACCACTTCAGACAAATGGCTGTCCAATCTCTTCTTAAAAATCTCCAGTGATGGAGCATCCACAACTTCTGGAAGCAAGTTATTCATACATGCGTACATACATGAACTACAGGTAGTCTTCGGCTTACAACCATCCATTTAGTGACCGTTCGGAGTTACAACATCACGGAAAAAAAGGGACATGACCGTTTTCTTACATATTTATGAACATTGTAGTTTTTACGACCAAAATTCGGGCTCTTGGCAGGCAACTGGTTCACATTTATGACGGTTGAGATGTGCCAGAGGTCATATGATAGCTAGCCAGCCAGCTTCCGACAAGCAAAGTCAACAGAGGAAGCTGGGTTCACTTAACGACCATGTGATTCATTTAACGACAGTAGAGATTCACTTAACAAAGTGTACAAAAAAAAGATCACAAACTGGACGTGACTCATTTTAACTTGCTTAAGCAGTGTCCCAAAACTGTAGTCATATGTCAAGGACTATTTTAATTGCTTATAAATAGCACAGGTGGTCCTTGACTTATCACAGTTCGCTTAGCTCAAGTTACGACGGCGCTGAAGTATAGAACAGAATAATTTAGAATAATTTTATTTCTATACCTTTCTTCTATAAGAAAGGGACTTGTCATCGTTTTTCACACTTACGTCCGTTGCTCATGCTTACAATCATTCGTTTAGGGAGCGTTGGAAGCAGGGGTGAAATCCAGCAGGTTCTGACAGGTTCTGGCGAACCGGTAGCGGAAATTTTGAGCAGTTCAGAGAACCGGCAAATATCACCTCTGGCTGGCCCCTGAGTGAGATGGGAATGGGGATTTTGCAGTAACTTTACCCTGGAGTGGGGAGGGAATGGGGATTTTGCAGTATCCTTCCCCCAGGAGTGGGGTGGGAATGGGTATTTTGCAGTAACTTTCCCTGGAGTGGGGAGGAATTGGGGATTTTGCAGTATCCTTCCCCCAGGAGTGGGGAGGGAATGGGGATTTTGCAGTATCCTTCCCCCAGGAGTGAGGAGGGAATGGAGATTTTGCAGTATCCTTCCCCTGCCACGCCCACAAAGCCACACCACGCCCACAAAGCCACGCCCACAGAACCAGTAGTAAAAAAAATTTGGATTTCACCACTGGTTGGAAGCTACGTTGCTTGGGGGTAAAAAAACCCTGTCCTCTTACGACCATCATCGCAAATTGAGTGCTTGCCAACTGACATGTATTTATGATTCAATCACCAATTGGGACCTTCCCAGCCAGCTTCCAACAAACAAGGTTAGCGGAGGAAACCGGATTCACTTAGTAACTGTGATTAATGCGATTTAACAGATTTAACAGATGATCAGAGTTGGGAGGGACCTTGGAGGTCATCTAGTCCAACCCCTGCCACCCAAGCAGGAGACCCTACACCATTTCCGACAAATGGCAGTCCGGTCTCTTCTTGAAAGCCTCCAGGGATGAAGCTCCCACAACTTCCAAAGGCAACTTCTGTTCCATGGGTTGATTGTTCTCACTGTCAGGAAATTCCTCCTTATTTCCAGGTTGAATCTCTCCTTGGTCAGTTTCCATCCATTATTCCTTGTCTGGCTTTCAAAGGTGCTTTGGAAAATAGCTGGACCCCCTTCCTCCTCTCTGGGGCAGCCCCTCAGATATTGGAAGATGCTCTCCTGCCTCCCCTGGTCCTTCTCTTCCCTAGACCAGCCAGGCCCAGTTCCTGCAACCGTTCATCGTAGGTTTTAGCCTCCAGTCCCCTCATCATCCTCGTTGCTCTTCTCTGCACTCTTTCTAGAGTCTCAACATCTTTTTTTATAGTGTGGTGACCAAAACTGGATGCAGGACTCTAGGTGTGGCCTTACTAAGGCTTTATAGAGTGGTGTTAGTACCTCTCTTGATCTTGATTGTATCCCTCTGTTAATGCAATTTAGGATTTGCATTGGCTGCCGCCCGGTACACTGCTGGCTCCTATTTAGCTGGTTGTCCCCTAAGACTCCAAAATCCCTTTCACAGTTCCTACTATTAAGCCTGGTTTCCGGAGCTGTTCCTACTGGGTATCCTACCAGAGAAAATTAGTAAAGAAAATGTATATTTTATTATTATTATTATTATTATTATTATTATTATTATTATTATTATTATTATTATTATTATTATTATTATTATTATTAAATTTGATTTATATGCCGCCCTTCTCCGGAGACTCAGGGCGGCTTACAATGCGTTAAGCAATAGCCTTCATCCTTTTGTATATTTTATACAAAGTCATCTTATTGCCCCCACAAACTGGGTCCTCAATTTACCTACCTTAGAAAGGATGGAAGGCTGAGTCAACCTTGAGCCTTGGCGAGATTCGAACCCTGCAGTAATTGCAGGCAGCTGGTCTTAATAACCAGCTTAATAACAGGGTGCCTTAGACCACTGTACTACCAAGGCTCTTTATTATTCATATAATAACTGCAGCGAGGATAGTATTTGCACAAAGATGGAAAGCAGAGAAAATCCCGTTGGAAGGGGAAGTAATTTAAAAAAATTTTTTTAGACTGTGCAGAAATGAATAGATTAACCTTGAGGATTAAAGAGAGGGAAGATACGGAATATTTTAAGATATGGGGGAAATTTTATGATCGGGAAGAAAAAGAGAAATAGATAAAGATTTTGATAACGAAATAGGAGAATATTATATTCAATGTATTGTACTTGTGGGGGGAGATAGAGAAATGGAAATTATAAGGGAAGAAAGGAAGATAGGAGGAGTAATCAAAGAGAAGAAGTTACTGAAGAAACACCGAGATGAGACACGGAAGGATGGATGTATTATGTGTTTGTTTGTGTAAAAAAAATTATTAAAAAAAATTATTATTTTTACAACGAAGCTTGGTTTCACCCGGTTTATATGTGTACTTTGGATTTTTCTGGCCTAATTTGCTTAACAACGGCAGGAAAAAAAAAGATTTAAAAATTGGGTGTGCAAATCACCTTGCTTAGCCACGTAAATTCTGGAATAAACTGTGGTCCTAAGTCGCGGCTACCCCAGAGGAGAGACACGTGATCTCCCTCGAATTAAAATAAAAGCGATTGTAAAATACATTAAAATCAAAGCCAGCGTAAAAATTGGATCCGATCAAAAAGTTGACGTGACTTGAAGAGTTTGAATATTCCGGTCAAGGATCCAAAACTGGACAATAACTTTTCTTTGTTTGAGGTTTAAGAGGAATATCAGCGCAACGACAACAAGTTGACTTGAGATGTTCGTTTATTTATCTATGCATCCATCCATCCATCATCAGACTGACGGACGATTAGGATGGCTGATTAAGTCCTGATTAAATGAAGTCAATTCATTGGTGGGGGAAACTGGGAAAACAGGAGGGACAGCTCAACCTGCCCCTTGTTCTAAAGTTCAAGAGAAACATCAGACAGGTGTCATTCAAGGGAGAAGTTGACCTGATCCTGCAAAGAGGACACGGCTCCACACACCCAAGGACATCAGCCCAAAAGGGCTACTCAGAGGTCCTGCAACCGGCCGGTTCCTCCATTGTCCACCATGATGGTCCTCCTTCCTGCCCTCCTTCTTATCCTCACCTGTCTGTCAGGATCCTTTGGCCAAGAAGGTGAGGATCTATTCTACATCCTATTCCTATTCTATTATTCTATTATTTTATTATTCTATTATTCTATTATTCTATTATTCTATTATTCTATTATTCTATTATTCTATTATTCTCTTCTCTTCTCTTCTCTTCTCTTCTCTTCTCTTCTCTTCTCTTCTCTTCTCTTCTCCTCTCCTCTCCTCTCCTCTCCTCTCCTCTCCTCTCCTCTCCTCTCCTCTCCTCTCCTCCACTCCACTCCACTCCACTCCACTCCACTCTATTTTCTATTCTATTTTATTCTTTTCTATTTTCTATTTTCAGTTTTCTATTTCTCTATTTTTCCATTTTTTCCTATTTTTCTATTATTCCACTCCATTCCACTGTTCTGTTCTGTTCTATTCTATTCTATTCTATTCTATTCTATTCTATTCTATTCTATTCTATTCTATTCTATTCTATTCTATTCTATTCTATTCTATCCTATCCCATCCCATCCCATCCCATCCCATCCCTTCCCATCCCATCCCATCCCATCCCATCCCATCCCATCCCATCCTATCCTTATTCTATTCCTGGTTTGGATGTTTCTGGATCCAAAATAAATAGTGGCAAGGGCACCTAATCATCGCCCTGACATTTGTCAAAACAAGGGAGACTTGTCAGAAAGCTTTTCCCACCTTACTTGCTCGAACACCTTTTATCCGTCCATTGTGTTGCTAGCAGCTCTCCTTCGTCTCCCACTTCCCCGATCTTAGGCAGGGGCCCTGCTAACCAAGAGGTCTTTTGTCTCCATCCAGATCTCCAGAAGAAGGTCTTCGTTTTCCCAACGGCTACTAACAAGGCCTTCGTGAGTCTGAACTCCAGCCTCCAGCATCCCTTGACCGACCTCACCGTCTGCTTGAGATACAACTCTCCCCTTTTCGTTTCCTTTCCCCTCTTTTCTTATGCCACCCGGTCCAAGGACAACGATTTCCTGATTTTTAAGCCCAACGAAAAGAAGTATTCCGTTTATCTAGGTGGAGACATAGGGGTTTCACGGTCCCCGCAAGGCTGATTCCAGCTTGGGAGCACATCTGCGTCTCGTGGAACACCTGGAATGGGCTGGTCCATTTCTGGCACAATGGAAATCTTCTCCCCCGGGTGGGAATGAAAAAGGGGTACAGGATCAGCCACGAGGCGTCCATCGTTCTGGGGCAGGAGCAGGATACCTTCGGAGGGGGTTTTGATGTCCGCCAATGCTTTATGGGTGAATTGACACAGGTTAACATGTGGCCCCGGGTGCTGACCACGGATGAGATCAGGTTGGTCATGAAAGAGGATACGGTTCCTAACCATCTGATCAACTGGAGATCGCTTCGTTATACCGTTCAGGATTACGTGGTGGTTACAGACAGGATGCCTTAGTTTTCTCCAAGATGTAAGACCTGCGTTTGGAAAAAAAATAAAAGAAAGAAAGAAAAGGAAAGATCTTTGGGGGGGGGGGAATCTGTAGTTCCGCAATGTATTGCAAATAATTGAAGTTGATTGTTGATTGATTGATAGGTAGATGATTCAACATTATTAGTGGGAGTTTTAATCTCCTGGCAATAAAATAAGTGGTTTATTCATGATACTCACTCTGAATATGTCTTTTTTCTTTTTTAAATAGCTCAAGAGAATCTGCCTTCCTTCCTTCCTTCTTTCCTTCCTTCGTTTCTGTTTTCTTTCTTTTTTTCCACCTTTCTTCCTCTCACCCTCCCTCCCATCTTCCATACTCCCTCCTTCCCCCTCCTCCCTCCCATCCTTCCTTCCTTCCTTCCTCACTCACTCACTTATTTACTCACTCACTCACTCCTTCTCTCCTTCTCTCCCCTCTTCCTTCATCCCTCCCCTCTTCCTTCCTCCCTCCCCTCTTCCTCCCTTCCTCCCTCCCTCCCCTCTTCCTCCCTCCCTCCCTCCCTCCCCTCTTTCTTCCTCCCCTCTTCCTCCCTCCCTCCCTCCCCTCTTCCTCCCTCCCCTCTTCCTCCCTCCCTCCCTCCCCTCTTCCTTCCTTCCTTCCTTCCCTCTCTCCCTCCCTCTTCCTTTTCTCTCTCTTTCTCTCCTCTCACTCACACATAACATCTGCACTTCCAAAAACACAACCAAAGCATTCTCTAGACAAATTAAGGAAATTAAGGAAATCAGCAGCTTTTATAAATGGGGAGGGTCTTTTTGTGGGAGAAAACGGGTGTCTTTCATAACTGAAAGATGGACAATTGCTGTCCCCTTCTTGACTGATTCACTCAGGGGCAGAGGTGGGTTTCAGCAGGTTCTGACCAGTTCTGGAGAACCAGTAGCAGAAATTTTGAGTAGTTTGGAGAACCGGTAGTAAAAATTCTGACTGGCCCCGTCCCCATCTATTCTCTGCCTCCCAAGTCCCAGCTCATCGGGAGGAAATGGGGATTTTGCAGTATCCTTCCCCTGCCATGCCCACCAAGCCATGCCCACCAAGCCATGCCACATCCACAGAACCAGTAGTAAAATTTTTTGAAACCCACCACTGATCAGGGGGGAACCAAACTTTCGGCCATTGGCTAATTTTTCACCCCCGTTTGGGAGTCCAGATGTTCGGCAGGCACAGATGTTGGAAGGGGCCACGATCACTTCTCCATGGGTTTCGTAATACAGCTCTCGCCAATCGATGAGCGGATGGGGCACCAATCGATTGTGCCAAACTCAGTAAATTTCACCTGGTCCCAGAAGTAGACATCTCCGATCCCTCCCACAAAGCTCTGATTGGCATCAAACTGGCCACCAAAGGAGTCTGACCTACAAACATTCTCCTTTATTAATTTATTTGATTGATTCTATGCCTGGTGGCCCTCAAAAGCGAAGTCATGGTGGAAGGAGCAAAACCAGAATTAGACTGCGGAGATGTTCGCCCTCTTTTTGGGATATGAATCAAACTGGGCTTGAAGATTTAGAGGTCACCTTTGTAGGGTTACAGCTTCTCTCTTTAGTTCGACCTTCACCAAAGTGGCTAATTCCACCTGGGTAGGAGTTCACTGCTGGGAGTTCGCAGGGGTTCGGTAGAACCTCTAGCTAAGATTCTGTGCAGTTCGGAGAACCGCCAAATCCCACTCTTGGCTGGGCCCCTCCCACCCTTCCCCTCCCCTTCCAGGAGTCTCCGCGTGGCCCGTTTTGGATGCAGGTAAGTGCAGGGTGCGCGTGGAGGCTCAGGGAGGGTGAAAAATGGGCCTACTGGAAGTTTGGGAAGGACAGAAATGGGCCCGTTTCCGGCTTCCAAAGGGCCTCTGGAGTCTGAGGAGGCTGTTTTTGCCCTCCTGGAGGCTCGAGAAAAGCCTCCGGAGCCTGGGGAGGGCAAACATGCCCCCCCCATAGTGCAGGAGGCTGACTAGGCCACACCCACCATGGCCACGCCCACCCAGCAACCAGGCAGAGAACCCTTTGCTAAAATATTTGAAGCCCACCCCTGCACCTGGGTAGCTTTCAACTCCAAAATTCTGAGTCAACGTGACCATCACTGAGAATCTTGGATCTTGAAGGTCATGTTCTGGACATCATCGCCCTGACTTCCCTAGCTCTGGTGAAGACGTCATCAAGGCATCGGAGTGGACACATGGAACCCACATATCTGACACGGGCCAAGATAAGGGAGGGATGACATTTTGACGTGGACGAAAGATAAGAATATCCTGGGGAGGGGATCCAGAATGGCAGCGATGAATAATAACTGCCTTTGTTTTAGATTTAAGAAAAATATCAGAGCGACGTGATTAAGTTGACGTGGCTTTGAGGTCTTTTATTTCTAATCTGTGGGTCGATCCATCAGATTTGTTCAAATGGTTGATTGAGTCCTGATTAAATGTTATCATTTCATTCATGAGGAAACTGGGTAAACAGAAGTGACAGCTCAGCCTTCCTCTTCTTCTAAGTTCAAGAGGAACATCAGACAGGTGCCGTCATTTGAGAAGCTGATTTGGTCCTGAGAGGAGAACCCATTTCTGTGCCCAAGGACATCGGAACAAGAGTTTCTGTGACCAACCGGTTCCTCCATTGTCCACCAAGATGACCCTCCTTCCTTCCCTCCTTCTTATCCTTGCCTGTCTGTCAGGATCCTTCGGTTATGAAGGTGAGGTTTAAACTCATGTAGGAGCAGCTCCATCTGTCCATTGAAGGTCCTCTGGTTTCCAGAAGCTGGGTGAAATCTGTTGAGCTTTTCATTGGCGTTGTTCTCAATAGGATTGTTGCACCTTCTGTTCGTGATTTGTAGAGCTTGTTGGTCATGCAGAATGTCAAATTGTAAGGCTGTGGGTCGATTTCCAAGAAGGTGGAGGCTTAAACCCACGTAGGAGCAGGAGTTCCACCTGTCCATTGAAGGTTTGGTGGTTTATTTTTATTGAACATATTTCATCATTTTGTATCACATTTACAACTTTTACAGCACTCCAGCATCAATAATACTCATACATACATAACAATTACATTCCTTATTCATCCTTTAACTATATACATTATCTTTGAATTTTAGTATACCTCTTCAGTTACCTTTATATTTAATCTTTACTTCTATTCTCTAACCATTTGTACCATGTGTCCCAGACTAAATAGTACTCCATTTCCCCTCTTTCTTTTAATTCCAATGTTAGCCAGTCCATCTCTGCACAATCTAACACCTTTTTGATCATCATTCCATCGGAGGGCATGCTGTCCTGTTTCCAGTTTTGTGCATAAGCAATTCTGACCGCAGTTGTTATATGCAATATAGTATATTGAATTTTCTTACTGTGGTTTCCTCTTATTATCCCTAGTAGAAATAATTCAGGTTTTAACTCAATTCGTCGACTCATAATTTCCTCTAACCATTTTCTTATTTTAGTCCAGTACTTCCTGGCTTCTGGACACCACCACCACATATGAAGAAATGTACCTTGGTTGTATTTACATTTCCAGCATTCTGCAGATACATTTGGAAACATTTTCACCAGTCTAGCTGGGGGTAAATGCCAACGATAAAACATTTTGTATAAACTTTCTTTATAGGCTGCTGACATTGTTAATTTATAATTTGAAATCTGCTGAACTTTTCATTGGCGTTGCCCTGTTGGACTTTCTGCTCGTGGGGAAGGGTTGTTGGTCATGTAGAATTATAAATTAAAAGACCATCGGTTGATTACACCAAAGATCCTTCTGAGGTGGCTTCAGCCAACACCAAGTAGAGTTTCCATGAGTAAGGATGGAGCTGAACTCCATCATCTTCTCTTCTGAACCAGTCTGGTCTTGGTTGAGAAGGAGAAGGTGGCCTTGTGTCAAGGAGTTCCAGAGGCACTTTGGGGATCTGAAGGTAGGTTCCCACTGAGTTCAACACCTTTGACACTCTCACACCCTCTTCAGCACCCTAACATACAATGCTTTCTCCAATGGTGAATTCTAAAGTCAACAGCAATTTAGTAGTAAGTTAAAACAGGGTTACGTCTAGATAGTAGGAAGTGGCAGTCCTCAACTTACAACCAATTGTTTAGCAATGATTCAGTGCTACAACGGCACTGGAAAAAAAAAGCGGACTTACAACCAGTCCTCGCACTTATGACAGAGCCAAGCCAAAAGAGGAAGCCGGATTTGCTTAATGTCCACGTGACTCGCAGTGATTTGCTTAAAAAACGGCGGTGAAAGGATCGTAAAATGGGGCACGCAACTTCCTTAATGCCCACCTTACTTAGCAACAAAAATTCTAGGTAGTTTCCCATTTGTGGTCCTAAATCGAGGACTTCCTGTAATCAAAGATCTTCCCCGTTTTGAAAATCTCAGCTGCTTTTATCGTTCTATCGCTATTTCGTTAAACATCGTATGACAGCAATATTTCCAATGCGATTGCAAAAGATCAGGGTTTAAGCGGCTGACCTGGAGTAGCGATTGAGTAATTTTTCCTCCTCTGTTAAAAAGGAATGTATTAAATATGAACCCCCAAATCTTGATATTTATCTTTAAAGTGGAAAAACTGCACTTTTCTCTTTTCCAAATTTCCATGTTGCCATTTGGGCCGGACATAAAGGGGCCATAAATTTATCATCTTAGGAGGAACTTATGACTCAGCCTTATAGTTTACAGTTGTTTATTTTATTGTCATTGCACATGGTACAACAAAATTAAATGCCGTCTTCGGCGTACGTTATAACTATAAAAATAAAAACACAAACATACGTCCTTTACATTCTATATAATTGAAATTGAAAACCCGATATTGCACTATACCGTAGAATTCAATATAGTTACTGCTCTGGGATAGAAGCTGTTTTTCAGCCTATTTGTCCTTGTTTTGATTGCCCTGTACCGTCTGCCTGATGGTAATAGTTAAAAAAAAAAGGGTACCCAGGACGAGATGGATGTTTAAGAATGTTTTGAACTTTCTTAAGGCAACGGGAGCTATGAAGCTCTTCCAAGGAGGGGAGAGGGCGTAAATTTACAGAGCGCGTAAATTTAAAACTGGGCAGCAATCAGTTAAAAAGCAGAAGAGAACTAGAAAGACAGAATCTTCAGAATAGCGCTGGAATTATCACCGAAATAAAAATTGAATTAGAAGTTTGAAGCGGCCCCTTCAATCCCAGTTAAATGAATACAAGAAAAAAAAAATCA